GCATACACATCCTATACAGACACTTTTGTGATGCACAAAGATCTACAGCCTCATCTAAAGCTTAACAAAGAACACTAAGGATGTCATTTGTACCTTGAGACAATGAATACCACTATATACTGACTTCCTTAAAATTGACAATGTCTAGCACTTCCTAAACACACATCAGGATATGTATAGACACAATCTATGATGAAGTCCTGTGGACATAGATGTCTTTACAAAATATCTCTAGATCTGTTCAACAGTAACATCAAGAGTATCAAAGTGATGAAGACTACCTACAGGATCAACTGGACCACAGACAGGAGACTACAGTGTGTCACTGTGAATTCCACATGTATAATATGGAGCAATACGGTGACTTATATACCAGGTCAATCTCTCTTCAGAAGGACCACAGACAGGAGACTACAGTGTGTCACTGTGAATTCCACATGTATAATATGGAGCAATACGGTGACTTATATACCAGGTCAGTTTCTCTTCAGAAGGACCACAGATAGGAGACTACAGTGTGTCACTGTGAATTCCACATGTATAATATGGAGCAATACGGTGACTTATATACCAGGTCAGTTTCTCTTGAGAAGGACCACAGATAGGAGACTACAGTGTGTCACTATGAATCCCACATGTATCACATGGAGCAATACGGTGACTTATATACCAGGTCAATCTCTCTTCAGAAGGACCACAGACAGGAGACTACAGTGTGTCACTGTGAATTCCACATGTATAATATGGAGCAATACGGTGACTTATGTACCAGGTCAGTTTCTCTTCAGAAGGACCACAGACAGGAGACTACAGTGTGTCACTATGAAATACACATGTATAACGATACTTGATTGACGCAGTAGTGATAGTTCATGTTCTATTTCAAGAAAAGAGAAGCACTCCCTTCGTGAACCAACAACAGACAGTGTGTTCAAAGCGACAAGCCTAAAATCTGCCTAATGTTACACATATCAATTATTCTTTGTATTCGTAAACTTGTCACCTCCTCATGCTATGCTAGAAATTAGTCACCTTTGGCATAACATAGTATTTATTAAAGAACACCAATTTTTTCAGATGAATACATGTATATCTAATCATAAAATCTGCCTAATGTTACACATATCAATTATTCTTTGTATCCACAAACTTGTCACCTCCTCATGCTATGCATTCCCATAGCAGAACTGAAGTAGAAGCTAAACTGTCATGATCTACTATGATAAGCATTCAAAACAAGAAAGGAACAGTTAGGCTTATTGAAATTAGTCACCTTTGGCCGAACATAGTATTTATTAAAGAACACCAGACTTTTCAGATGAATAGATCTAATAATGATGGACTGACAACAATCATATGAAAAAAATCTGGTGTGCTTTAACTTCTTTGAGAAGAATGTTCAAATACAGACTTGTTATATGAAAAGATGAAAGACAATATATCCCACTCACAGGTCAAATAGCAAATATTGATGATTTTTTAATAGACATACAACCAATATATGGACTTTTCATGAGTGTATGAAGTTTTTGTTACACTGATGCTTACATACAACAGTTGCCTTTTTTGCCCTTCAAGAAGCTGGATCACAGACCAAACAGCAAAAAGTGGACAGATAAGATGATTTGGTTTGAACACTATCTGTGTAAACCTACTTTGTGCATCATTTCCAGTCAAGCAAGTAACATAATAAAGATAAATTGTTCACTCCTATTATGCTAATTCTATTTGTGTATTTTCATCCAACAACAAGAGTGTCCCACCTGACAAAAGACCAAGATCAAAGTTATGAAATAGTTTGCAAAAACCAAGGAATGATTTTACTTCAGATCAGATACCCCTACAGATTTAGGAAAAAGGTAAATTCTGAAAAGACAAAAGTATATATAAACCATACACAAACAGCAACAAAAACAAATATCATATTTTGTATTAGAAAAGCAACAATTCAAATCACTGAAAAAATAAACAATACCATAACATAACATACATATGTTCCACCCTGAGAGGGTTGATATGGTAACGGTCGTATATACAGAGGACTGTAACAAAGTTCAAAGAATACAAAACAGAAAACAAGGGCAAGAAGTCATGTCAGACTAGACTACGAGTAACTAGTTAGTGTTCCACCCGAGGCCCATTTAGGAGGTGCTGCGCCCTGCCCTTTATTGTGTGCACCTGCCATTTTTGCTTTGCACCCCGCCCTTTTCAGGTCATTCCCTGTCATATTTTATTGCTGAGCATTAATTTTACAAAACTATTTTTTGCAAATTATAATCTTAAATTAAAATAAGAGAAGAGCAATAAATGTACTTGAGAATTAAAATTAAAAGACTGTGTTTGACGCCATATCAATTTTGTTATTTTTCCACTGATCCTCAATGACATGCCCTTTGAGATTATGAAGTGCCTGTTTGTATCAAGTTACCCTGCCCTTTCTGAATCCATGCGGGAACACTACAAGTGAACACCTGAACTACAGGAATATCCCTCTGTTCAATCTACTTGATGGTCTCATGTGCTTGTTGTTAAACACTCTGAAATATTCCAATATGGCAAAAAACTTAGTATGGACCAGACAATCCATTTACCGATGCTGTATATAAGATCTATGCAGCTTGGGTATGTCGACAAGCAATCACCCAATCCACTCAGTCACCTCTCAAAACATGGATGCTGGGGACCAGTTTAAACCTTGAATTCCCTGATGTGACACAGACATGAACATCAATACAATAGCCAGGTATATGTTGGTTCTTATACTTACTGAAATGCCAGAAGTGACACAGAAAGTTTACCACTGGTTTGACCTGTAAGAACTTTACCACTGAAATTTGTTGAAAATGTTGGATTCAAACCACAACCACAACATCCTGGCAACTTAAGGGAGATAAATCTGTAGGGCAGCTTGTGTTCCTGATACTACTGAGTCTCCTACACAGATACAGGTCATCTCCGACAGATTTCACGACCCCAGTAGACTGACTGTTACTCCAGTAGCTCCAGGTGTGTGATGCCTGTTTACTGTTGTAACTTTTCTTTTCTTGATGTAGACAACATTCAATTTAATTTTTAATAATTTTTACAATGCATACCTACAATTTACATCCTCCTTGTTGGTTGGTTGGTTTACTGTTTAACACTGGACTCAGCAATATTCCAGCTATATGTCAGTGGTCTGTTAATAACTGAGTCTAGACCAGCATGCTGTTCAGACTTGTTACCCATTGAACATGTCTGGGATATGGTTGGCTGGTGGCTGTTTTGTTGTTTTATGCCGCACTCAGCAGTATTTGCAGCTATAGGACGGTGGTTTGTGGATAATCAAGTCTGAACCAGACAATACAGTGACAATAGGATGAGCATCGATCTATGTAACTGAGAGTAACATGAGTCAACAAGGTCAGCGAGCCCGACCACCCGATCCCGTTAGTTGCTTCTTACGACTGACTGACTGACTGACTGAGTTTGGTTTTACGCCGCTTTTAGCAATATTCCAGCAACATAAGGGCGGGGGACACCACAAATGGGCTTCACACATTGTGCCCATGTGGGGATTCGAACCCGGGTCTTCAGCGTGACGAGCCAACGCTTTAACCACTAGGCTACCCCACCGCCCCGCTTCTTACGACAAGCATGGGTTACTGACGACCAATTCTAACCCAGATCTTCACTGGTATGATAATCAACAGAACATGTTATATGGCGGCGGTCTGTAAATAATCGAGTCTGGACCAGACAATCCAGTGATCAACAGCATGAGCATCGATCAACGCAGTTGGGATGCAATGACATGAGTCAACCCAGTCAGCGAGCCTGACCACCTGATCCCATTAGTCGCTTCTTACGACAAGCATGGGTTACTGAAGATCAGTTCTAACCCAGATCTTCACTGGTTCATCCTCCTTGTAAATATCAGATTAAACTGACATTGATTGAAGCAGCCTTAAATTATTTAGTTTGTTGATACCTTTAGACTTCACATTGTCAGCAAACCTTGTCTTTGTATTGTGGCCATATCTGTGAACTTCTCAACACCAGGGAGAGTTGTATGCTTCTAGTGTTTATCATATTCATAAACATCATCATAAATAATAAACGTTGTTTGACTCTAACATCAAAGATTATCCTCCATCCAAATCCCAAGCCATTCTAGAAAATTAGTAAACAAACACCCCTATAAAGACCAAAGACTTCCCTTCACATGACATTAAAGTATCATTCTCAAACAAACCCCTGTAAGCTGGGCAAGATCATCACTCACCTCAAGTAATTCATGCATCATTTACTCAGTGGGGTTTAAACAGAGCCACAGCATCCTATGATTGTTGTATTAGGTGAAGGGTTAGGGGTTGCCTAGCATTCGCAAGGTTTGATTCCCCATGTGGGTACAATGTGTGAAGCCCATTTTTTGTGTCCCCACCTGTGAATTTGCTGGAATATTGCTAAAAGCGGCGTAAAACTAAACTCACTCACTGTATGAGGTGACCTATGAGGTCATTAGATCCGATCTCTTACAACAAACAGGAGTTGAAGACCAATGGTAATGCCACCATTACTGGGAATTCCAATATAGAATGACAGAGTACCACACTACCATCCCGCTTTTAGCCAGCCTAAAACATTCTGGTACAAATAAGCATAGCAGGAACAGAAAAGTCTAAGGTTGTAACCTATTAAAGATAGTATTCTATCACACCAATGTTTTTACATGCTTTGCATTAAAACAAAAAGTAGCGTTGACATAAAAAAGCATAACTTAATATAACATCCATATCGTGGTATGTTATCAATGGATGTTTTCAAATAGATCCAATCAGGACCAAACTATTGTCTTTCATCTGGGACATTGGAAAGAGAATTGAACTTCGGTTTGGTGTAACACAAACAAAAACACTAAAAAACCACTAAATCCAAACAACCCTCAGTCAACTTGTCAGCTTGAAGACCACTTTACAAGAATATGTAAGTATAAATATATTAACACAGCATTTGGAACAAAATGGTTAAATAATTTATTACGAATGGTTTAGAAGCCAGCACTGCAATCACCGTACATTAGAGACTCACTCTAAACACTAAACTAAAAACTATATTTGCTGGACATTACAGAGATTGGCAAGTACAAGTTCAAGGACACATGCACACACAGTCAGTCGTGTATGTACCCTTATTTCTCTTCATGAGCATATCAAACCAAACAAGGGTATTATAATACTTGCAATTAAATCCAAATGCCTATTCACAATACATATATGACACCCTAGAAATTGTTTTCCTACACTACAAAACCCCTTATCACATATAGCATTTACACAACAGAGTTGCCTCCCTTGGCACTGGTCCCACTTGTGTTCATGGCAACAGCACTGCAAACATGGAATCTGATATGAATATATTCCGACAGACAACTAAACATGAGAGAACATATGGCGAAGAAAGCACTTAAGCATGTTTCTAGGAAATCACTGATGTATATTATGAGACATTAATTTGGCATGTATCATCTGATTTGTGAGATGAAATTCATTTACAGTATTGAGGCTTGAACACAAACATATACTTACATACACATACATTCATGTCTTGATAAATTCACTACATTGTAACTTCATCAATGTGACATGATTAATTTGGTTATGTCAATTCTTGTTTAAAAACTTCATTTGTAACTCCCATTTAATGATACCCTCGTACTGAGAGAAAAATATCTTGATGCAGGGAACACATCTTGCTATAATTATTGCTAATAACAGATCACGTGACACTCATGACAACCACAGGTAAATGGAGACAACCTGGACAATCAGTGTTTCGCATATGGTCTACTGTACATATATATTGAATAATAAGTCAGGTTTTCACACACAGGTGTACAAGTACAAGAAAGAAATGGGTCACCTTTTCACACAAAGGTCTACTGTACAATTACAAGAAAACCTTAGGTTTTCACACACAGATCTACTGTACAGATATATAAGGACACACTAGATAGGTTTTCACATGCATCTACTGTACAGATATAAAGACATACTAGTTAGGTTTTCACACCTGTCCACTGTACAGGTACAAGGTTACACTAGTTCAGTTTTCACAGTTTTCACACCTGTCCACTGTACAGGTACAAGGTTACAATAGTTCGGTTTTCACACCTGTCCACTGTACAGGTACAAGGTTACAATAGTTCGGTTTTCACACCTGTCCACTGTACAGGTACAAGGACACAGTAGTCAGGTTTTCACACACATGTCTATTGTACGAATATAAGGTCACACTAGCTAGGTTTTCACACGTCTACTGTTCAGATATGAAGACAAACAAGTCACTTTTTCAGACACAGGTCTACTGTTCGGGCATAAGGTTACACTTGTTAGGTTTTCACACATGTCTACTTTACAGATATAAGGTTACACTAGTCAATTTTTACACAAGTGTCTACTGTACGTACTGTAAACGTATTATATTTCGCGCAGGTTTTATTTTCGCCGCTTTTCGGCATAAAACATTTTAGCGAAAATTTATACACCAGCGAATAAACCTGTCATTCATTCAGTCTAGCCAAGCTCAGCCCTGAGTTGTTACCATAACACATCAAGTTTGAAGACAGAAATCTACGGGAATCTTAAAATGACGACTGATAGTAGCATGAAGAATCATACTTAACTGTCGCTGTAATGGATTTCCCAAAACATAATTAAATAATGAGCCAAATCCCATCGCCGAATTAGCGAAAACAGCAATGTGTGTTGTGGCTGCACAGATAGGGATTTCCTGTGAGTAAGCAATAAACGCCGCCTGACAGGTTAAGCCACTCTGTTTTCACTGCTATAAGTGGCGGCCAAAGAGACAGCTGGCAGTTTTGGCAATTACTGATTGAGCGAATAATTGACCGCGCGATGTAGTCTAAACTGTCAATTTCGCGAAAATTGCTCCACGTGAAAATAAGTACGCTTTACAGTATATAAAGACAAGTAATTTTTTGAGTTTTACAGATACAGGACTACTCTACAGGTACAAGGAATCAGGGCAACATGAAAACAAGAAGGTCGACATGCTAATATACATAAAACTTTATCCATAATTGTATATTTCCACTTTTGGTTGGCTGTTTCAAATTGTATGATTAGAGCGAGTGAGTTTAGTTACACCGCACTCAGCAATATTCCAGCTATATGGCGCCGGTCTGTAAATAATCGAGTCTGGACCAGACGATCCAGTTATCAACAGCATGAGCATCAATCTACGAAATTGGGATATGATGACGTGTGTCAACCAAGTCCCCAAGCCTAACCACCTGATCCCGTTAGTCGACACTAACGACAAGCAAGGGTTACTGAAGATCACTTCTAACCCGGACCTAATGGGTCTCACTAATTTTGCTTTGCTTGATATCCTACAACATCACATGTGAATAGGGGAAATATCAGTCTATCGGTATGACAAACTGCTACAACACTACACCATATAACAGTGTATCAGGGGTGGAAATAACTTTAAAATTGCTAGTGTACTCCGGTACAGTGGCACATGTAAAATCACTTGCCCTGATAATTTTTCCACTATACTGACTGTTTTCTTGTTGATTTTATAAATAAACAACATAATTAACATTGGAATATCAACTGGACACCGGTACAATGTGATATACAAATTTGCTTGCCTGACAGAAAAGAACACTGGACCCGGGCGTCGGGCAATGGGTTATTTCCACCCCTGTGTATTAGAGTAAATATACTAGGTGAACTACCACTCCATGATGTATACTGCTCAAAAGAAGTAAAGGACCACCTAATTTATATACAATCTGTCCTGACAGACATATATTGAAAACCACTTGTCATGACAGAATAACCATTGTGTGGTACTAGGGTCAGTGGGGTAGCCTAATGGTTAAAGCGTTCGCTCATCATGCTGAAGACCGGGTTCGATTCCCCACATGGGTACAATGAGAGAAGCCCATTTCTGATGTCCCCTGCTGTCATATTGCCAAAAGCGCGGTAAAACTCAACTCACTCACTCCACATTTTTTGAGTGGTATATTTTACTTAGGGTCAGCACTTGTATCAACCAGGTGACCCAATAATTTCTAAATTTAAGTATCCGACCTAATACTATACATTGTACTCCACAACAGATATCTCTTCTATACGCACACAATGATGTATCGTGATATTTATTTCTACAAATATGGTATACAAGTATTTCATACACAATAACACACTTCACTTACTCTACCTGAACTACCTCGCCTAACAATAACAAAGACGCTAATAAGATGGAACACATGATTACATTGCTATATCACGTATGGCACTTAACCTTCACTGCCATCTTATGAAGTACCGTAGATATCATTATGTCACCTGCATTATAGTCATAGACAATAAGTAAACACTTTATAAAAAGTAAATATATAAATCATAATTTAAACTTCAACAAAAAAGAGGCGTGGCACTGGGATATGAATGAGCATGAAGATCTGACCAGCCAGGCAATACTGACAGTTGTAAACAAAGGGAGGCAACACAAACACAACTACATAGGGAAGAAACACTAGCTCTGCACAATTGGAAAAAAAATCAAAATTTGTTGAAGAAATTGAGCAATCTTTTACAGACATGTATCAGAAACATTAAATCGCATTCTACTTGCTCGTTTGTGGGGGCGTTGTGGTAGCCGAGTAAAGCGTTCGCCTATCACGCTGAAGACCCTGGTTCAATTCCCCACATGGGTACAATGTATGAAGCCCATTTCTGGTGTCCCCCGCCGTGATATTGTTGCAATATTGCTAAAAGTCAAGTTGCGTAAAACTAAACACACACTATCATTTGTGTTGGGCAAGTGATGTTGTTTGAAACATGCTTCTGGTCACCTTGCAGTAAATGGGTACCTGGAAGGATGAAAAGGTAACGTGACTGACAACAATTCCAGTTCCTCACATTAGGTTTGGTTAAAGGGAGTGAAGAACTGCAAACTGAGTGCACACTGATCCTTTGGCCAGGGAAATATACTGAGGGAAACAAATAAGGGAACACATGAAAGCACAAGTGTTCCTTTATTCTTTTCCAGGTTTCTTCGCAAGCTTTCTATGGAACTGTGGGTGAGAATCTGAGATTATATAGAGGAATGCTGTGATGAAGTGGTGTTCCCTTATTTGTTTCCCTCAGTATAAAATGCAGACTTTTGACCATAGATTGTATATGGAGTTCTGTGCTTCTCAAGCAGAATATAACTGTTATTATAGTTATTTTTTATGAAAGGAGGGTAACTGATAAGATCACCTGTAAATGGTATCCCAGTAATATAAAATGTAAGCTTGTGTGAAAGGAGAGAAGCAAGTTTTGGACATATCACATTTTTTTCAAAATCCAGGAGCAAAGTTTGGTGCTGAGAAACCAGGAACCATACAGGTGACTCAGGGATTAAAACCAATCACATGATTCCAGTACATGTAGGGCTGGAACTACAGAGCTGCTACCACTGAACCAAGAAAAAACAAACAAGTCACCATTAATAACGGAAGGGCTACATGCTCTGACGAAAGTTGCTCAATTTTCTAAACAAATTCTTGAAATACAACATCAGCATTCTCAATTCTGCAGTTCTAAAGGATTTCCATTATACCAGAAAATGTCCCACTACCTGACTGCCTATGTATTCTACAGAGACTTGCATAGCTGTGAAGTGTAACGTCCATATGTCTCGCGGTCTGTGTGGTGTGTCTACTGGTGTATCAATCACAAGGTCAAACATTCATTACTATTCACTAACTGGTACACATAACAAAGATAACATTAACAAAACACTGACATCACTGTTGAAAGAACGATGTCATCAGACAATGAATGATGACATCACAATGAATGATGACATCACAATGAATGATGACATCACAATGAATGATGACATCACAATGAATGATGACATCACAATGAATGATGACATCACAGTGAATGATAACATCACAGTGAATGATGACATCACAGTGAATGATGACATCACAGGCAGGACATCCTCCCACAGAAAATTGAGAAATGAAATCACCAGTATTCAGTCAGACATTAAGAAACTTAATTCATCATAAATAGAAAATATTTACTACAGGGCTAAATAGTATGAACAAAAAACTGAAACATATACTTCTATACTTCACCCTAAGAAGAAAAACATTTTGCCACCTGACCATATCTATTCTAATTTAATCCACTGGATTAAAAACTGTAAATGGGTTTGAAAATATTTTCTTGACTGGCCATTCAGATTAAAATAGTTTTCAATGTATGAAATAACAAGGAAATATCTGATTTAACTAAGCATCATGTTGACAATCCCTATGAAGAAAACCAACATAGTCCAACAAGTCAGGCCTCCCATACACAGCACCTATATTGATTGTACAGGAAATGCCAATTAGGCCTGACTCAAGACGGCATGAAACAAATTGTAAAGGTACACGTAATTATTAGTTGATCCTCTTTCTGAGAAGATAACTTATTGTCTCAATGCTGATATTGTATATCTGCACAGGCAACTGTTCCGTAAAGCTATCTAACAATGAATGGGAAAAGCTGTTTGTTGTAAAATGATAGAAATATGCCAGTTGATCTTCACAAATTGTTCAGCGACGGCAGATGAATCAGTGTCTTTGATGTAATGTTAGGACTGCTTATCAATATAGATGATATAGATTGATCATTGTCAACTGAATATTGATCAGTTATCTATATAGATGATATAGATTGATCATTGTCAACTGAATATTGATCAGTTATCTATATAGATGATATAGATTGATTATTGTCAACTGAATATTGATCAGCTATCTATATAGATGATATAGATTGATCATTTTCAACTGAATATTGATCAGTCATCAATAGAGATCATAGAGATTGATAAGTGTTGACTGAATATTGATCAGTTATCAATATAGATCATAGAGACTGATAATCGTTGACTGAATATTGATCAGTTATCAATTAATATCAAGAGTAGTAACTCTAAGCAAAAATGACAATAATATTTGAAAGAAATTATATTTCACATCACTGATGATGATCACATACTTATGTTTGGATTAGTAACAAAACACCATCTTGAACCTGATTTGGAAGCAGCCCGTGAATAGAGACCTAACTTTGTGAATTGTCTAAGTAAATTAAAACTATATTTCATCACAATAGTTTATGTATGATATTATGGATGATACAATATGTATATCATTAATCTATATAATATTTCAGATTATCAATCCGTTTAGCTACACCTCGATGATGTACCACACTGTGCAAATCTTGTCACTCCATATTCTGATATTCATATCTGATATTCATAAGTCATCATATCCTTCCCCCTGTCATCATAGAACACCAGCTGCTGCCTTCAGACTGTATCCATCCCCCACAAACACAGAAAAATATAACTTCCTAGCAAGTCAACAATACTTTGGCTTTCAGACTGAAAATGACAAGATTCTATCAGCTCCTTTCATAAATGGAAAACAAATTTATTCTGCACTCTCCACTCAAATTCATTAGAGAAAGCAAAGTTAAGTCAAGCGGAGCACTTCAGTTACCAGGCTGCAATTATCAGTAGAATGGCCTTATATTAGTTACACACTGTTGTTGCTCTATCAGTAATGAATGAACATGTGGCAACATTACAAAAACCTTTGTTTTCCTGTTTCATGAAAATCAAAACCCATTCATTTCATATCGAGAACAAAATATATCACAAAAGATTTGGTTATTTTGTTAACCTGTTCCACTTTTCTTCACCTTCACCAACTGACATGACAGACGTCAGACAGCAGCAGATAGCTGAGTGATGTTATCAACAATCTCTCACTCACCTATTTGAGGAACAGGTAAAAGGATGAAATGATATCTTTCGAAGGAAATCTGATTGATAATCTTGAAAACTAATAATTGTCCTGAAGTAATGACTTCTTTATATTCTGAACTGTTTGGAGGTCACGTCTGAGTTTAGATATCAGCGATTAAAATTTCAACTCCGATGAACAGATTCTGGATAAAACTTTCACTTGGACACTCGCCTGATTTAACAATACATGTTATGTATTGTGATATGTAGCTACCGATATGATACAATATTTTATGTATCATGATACGCAGCTAATGATATGATACAGGATTGTATTTCTTGTAATACAAAGCCATCATGATGTACATACATGACACTTGTACAGTATAGTATGTATCATGATACATAAGTACCAAAATGATACACTAGTGTAAATATTAGAAGATCGGGGCTAATCCAGAACTGCTCAGAGACTGATATTTGGTCTCAAGTCTGCAGCAAATGACTGTGCTAATTTAAATCTATGATTTTGCAATTCCTCATAACTTAAGACAAATAAAGAATTTAGAAACTACAATTTTGAATGATTTATCCAATTTTGTTTGAAAATTCCACTTAGTTTGCAATGTTAGACACATTCCTGGCCGAAGGTCTTAATAAAAAATCCAATGTGACTGCCACGTTAATTCTTCAAGATTCCACTGCACTCCTTTCTCCAGATGGTCCTGTATCATATGAAAAGCCTCATGGTAAACATCACACAATATTGCCATGTCCTATCTTACAACTTCACGTGTAAGATCAACATGAACATAATCAAACACGGAGTAATCCAAGTTTGACACAGACTGTCACAAATTCAATCGTCATCTACTCGTCTTTCACACAAGATACACAAAACTATGATGCTGTTGTGTGGCTTCGATGTCGTTTTTCGGAGGCCATGAGATCATCCTGTAGCAGTTTGAGAGTGGCGAACAGCGAGTCCCGCTCGGTGGTCATGTTGACAATCTCCTCTTCCAACTGTGCCACCTTCTGCTGTAACTGCAAGTTCTCCATCTCATATCTATTCGTTGACTCATCTTCCTTGCTGAGATCATATTCGGATAATTTCTGTTTTAAAGTTTCATTTTCACTGGTGAGTTTTTCCATGAACTCCATCCCTGCTCTCAACTGGGTGAGATGTTTTTCTGTTGTCTTCTGCTGCGCTTGGTACTCCTGGATCTGACGACGGAGTTCCATGTTGTCCATCTGCACCTGCCGGAACTGTTCCAGATGTAACACAGGTGTGGACATTTCCTCCGATTCTTTCCCTGGTGATGTATCTGATGTGTGAGATGGAGAGTTGCCTCCCTTCAGTGCTGCTATGGGCTGAAGTGACTGCATTCCAAGGGGAGCTGACTCTATTGACCCTCCTGAAACACGTTTGGACATGAATCATTCAAATTCCTTCTGACTTGAACCATTAGACAACAAGCCAAATCAACAACATTGGTGAGGTTTTCGAGCCCTTTGGACAGGAATTATTCCCAAATAAGACAAGTGAGGTATCACCACTTTCGACATGAATCTTTCAAATATCAAACGTTCCTCACACCACTTTTAAGAATATAGATAACAGCAAGTCATTTCAAAACAGAGATAGCACAGCACAGTGATACATGATAATGTTATCAAGGAAACCTGGTCGTCTGCTGTCAACAAGAAGAATACTTGGGAGGGAGTTTTCTTAAAGGGCAAAACAAACTGGTATCTTATAGCACCTATGGCGGCCTGTAAATAATCAAGTCTGGACAGACAATCCAGTGACTGACATCGTAAGCATCAATCTATGACACTGGGGGACCACACTGGGGGGACCATACACTGGGGGGACAATACACTGGGGGACCACACTGGGGACCATACACTGGGGACCATACACTGGGGACCATACACTACACTGGGGGGGGGACCATACACTGGGGGACCATACACTGGGGACCACACTGGGATAAGATGACATGCATCAACAAAGTCTGAGTCAGACCATCTGATTCCATTATTCACCTCTTGTGACAAGTATGGGTTGCTAAATAAGACCAATTCTAGCCCAGACCTTCATGGGTTGATTCATCCTGACACTCACGCTAACACCATATTAGCATCTCAACAGACAGAGTAAAATTATCAGCTCTTAGGGCAGTTGATGACCAAAATTCAAAATTTGATTGTACTTTATCTTAAGCTGCCTTCCACAAGTAATTATGATGATAAAACATGGTTAACTTGGGGTCAGTATACTGTGTTTAACTATTAATCGGACTAGTCTAGAAACGTAGACACACATGCACACAAGTTTATTGCTATAATATCAGTTTACCAGTCCTACCTACCTTCACATATGAGTGAATATGGTTTTATGCTGCTACTAGCAATATTCAGACAATATCAAGATGGGAACACCAGAAAAGGGTTTCATACATTGTACCTATGTGGAAATCAAACCACTGTCTTCGGAGTGACAAGCAAATACTTTAACCACTAGTCTACCCCACCTTCACATAAGGGAAGGTCGGGTAGTCCAAGACTTACAGTATTCAATCAAAATGCCAAAGCCATAGGTTTGATTCCCAAATGGGGTTCAAGATGAGAAGTTTTTCTTACGTCCAACTGGTATTGGTGGAATATTGCTAAAATTATATTCAATCACATGAACCAAGCATCATTACTGGAACCCTAATGACCCCTAAATAATGGCGCCTGTCACTTTAGTAATATTCAAGCAATTACAAGTTGAGGACAACACAAATGCACTTCACACATTGTACCCATGTGGGGAATCAAACCCCAGTCTTTGGCGTGACAAGCGAACACTTTAACCACTTGGCTACCCTACTGACCAATCATCATTACTGAAATCCCCAAATAATGGCGCCAGTCACCTGATAAGTGGAAGACGCCATCTGATCCCCTCCTGATGGTCAGCTTGTGTATCTGCAGGTCGATGGGCATGGCTCCGGGTGACACAGGGTTGCTGGATGGCCGGTCCTCCTGGAGGAGAACTCACACATGACACACATACAACAGGGATACACACCAGGGATAGTCAGAGACACCAGCCTGATATTCTCTCCCCAGACTGACTGAGTTTTAGAGCTGCTTTTAGCAATATTCCATTCACTCTCATGTGAGGATTTCCCAGAACTGACTGACTGTATAACTCACACTGAACTGTGGACCCCTGAGGAGATGAGGATAGTGTTTTTCTTCTGTAAGCCACAACAAATTGTTTTTCCCAGAGTACCAGAAGCTCACCTCATAAGGTAACAAATAAAATGGATTAAGGACGTACCAAAACAGCTGTCTTGATATCTATTACTACTTGGAAGAAACGGACTTCTGGATGTTCTCAGAATGATACAGTTATTCCAATGCTGCAAAACCTATTTTACTTCTTATCTATGTTCTGTATGTCTAGTGGAGGTCTTGAGGGACAAGTCAAACATTGACACTCATTAATATATTTTATAGAAGCATACAGTCCGTTTGAGTCAGAAACGGACCGATGAATTGCAAATTTTATCATTGTACAAAATTGCCACATAAATATAAATAGTACACATGTTTATCATTTACTAATACCCAACAGCTTTCTTCTAGATGCTTTATTGGCATTTTAGAAGATGATATTTGATGAACATAGAGATTTTTTCTGGGTTACATCTTCTTTTTATTCTCGAGTACAACGTTTCAGGGCCGTCCCTTTCTCTGCACTCCTCCCTCGTAACAAATAGTGAACTGTGTCAAAATTTTAATGATAGTTTCTTAAAGAACTTTTTTTGGTGGAGTCCGGAAAATTTTCAAATAGAAGAAAGCTGTTTGGTATTAGTAAATGATAAACATGTGTACTATTTACATTTATGTGGCAATTTTGTACAATGATAAAATTTGCAATTAATCGGTCCGTTTCTGACTCAAACGGACTGTAATTAACAGTAAGATTTAAAAAGTAATCCCGAAAAAGAAACACACCAAACCAACTAATGAAGAATAATCTGGACAAAATGACATTGTTTCCAGAAGATTCATATTTCATGTAACACAAGTTTACATATTGCCACACCCCTGACATTCGGCTAGGTAAAAAAGTTGGGTTTGTTTGAGCCTGGACTCAACAATATTCCAGCTATGTTGCGGCGGTCAGTAAATAACTGAGTCTGGACCAGACAATCCAGTGATCAAGGGTCATGAGTTTCTAGAGACTTTTCTATCTCAGCAAGTGCACCTACCTCCAGGATGAGGAGGAGGTTGTGGACGTCCACCACCATCGGTATCGGCTCCGACAGCTTCTCCTCCTCGACGAACTCTGACAGTGACATCAGACTGGACATTTTGAAACTGAGGCTGGAGTCATGGCTCCTCACAGTGAGGAGAGCAGAGTTTGGAGTTGTTGTTGTGTCAGCGCGATACTGCACGGTGTACGGAAACGTCTTTGGGTGACTTGGTGACAGGGTGTTGTCTTGAAAGAATCCTGCAGTAAAGTTATGTTCTTGCTAGTTATCTTAATATCATTCTACAGATGTTAAAGAAAGCTGTATGTACGAACCATGGAAAACTGTAAGAAAAGAATCAAGGAAAGCTACAGCATAAACCAAGGAAAGCTACTGCATGAACCAAGGAAAGCTAATGGATGAACCAAGGAAAGCTACAGGTTGAACCAAGGAAAGCTACAGTATAAACCAAGGAAAGCTATCGTATGAACCAAGGAAGCTAGCATCGTATGAACCAAGGAAAGCTATCGTATGAACCAAGGAAAGCTACAGTATGAACCAAGGAAAGCTACAGTATGAACCAAGGAAAGCTACAGTATGAACCAAGGAAAGCTACAGTATGAACCAAGGAAAGCTACAGCATGAACCAAGGAAAGCTACAGCATGAACCAAGGAAAGCTACAGCATGAACCAAGGAAAGCTACAGCATGAACCAAGGAAAGCTACAGTATGAACCAAGGAAAGCTACTGTATGAACCAAGGAAAGCTACAGCATGAACCAAAGGAAAGCTACAGGTTTGAGTATGAACCAAGGGAAGCTACAGTATGAACCAAGGAAAGCTACTAGGATGAACCAAGGAAAGCTACAGTATGAACCAAGGAAAGCTACAGCATGAACCAAGGAAAGCTACAGGTTGAACCAAGGAAAGCTACAGCATGAACCAAGGAAAGCTACAGCATGAACCAAGGAAAGCTACTGCATGAACCAAGGAAAGCTAAGTATGGAAAGCTACTGTATGAACCAAGGAAAGCTACAGCATGAACCAAGGAAAGCAACAGGATGAACCAAGGAAAGCTACAGGTTCAACCAAGTAAAGCTGCCACATGAACCAAGGAAAGCTATCGTATGAACCAAGGAAAGCTACAGCATGAACCAAGGAAAGCTACAGGATGAACCAAGGAAAGCTACAGCATGAACCAAGGAAAGCTACCGTTTGAGCCTAAGGAAAGCTACTGTATGAACCAAGGAAAGCTACTGCATGAACCAAGGAAAGCTACCACATGAACCAAGGGAAGCTACAGGATGAACCAAGGAAAGCTACAGCATGAACCAAGGAAAGCTACCGTTTGAACCTAGGAAAGCTACTGTATGAACCAAGGAAAGCTACTGCATAAACCAAGGAAAGCTACTGCATGAACCAAGGAAAGCTACAGCATAAACCAAGGAAAGCTACAGCATAAACCAAGGAAAGCTACAGGATAAACCAAGGAAAGCTACTACATGAACCAAGGAAAGCTACAGCATAAACCAAGGAAGGCTACAGTATAAAGCAAGGAAAGCTACAGGATGAACCACTGAAAGCTACAGTATGAACCACGGAAAGCTACAGCATAAACCAAGGAAAGCAACAGGATGAACCAAGGAAAGCTACTGCATGAACCAAGGAAAGCTACAGCATGAACCAAGGAAAGCTACAGCATGAACCATGGAAAGCTACAGTATGAACCAAGGAAAGCTACAGAATGAAGCTAGGAAAGCCAAAGTAAGAGTCAATGAAGGTTACTGCTATGGGACAAAGAACATTACATGTTTAATGAAAACTCAGCTAAATCTAATTCACAAGAGGTTACAACCGGCAAGGCTTGAATTGGGCTTCAAAAAGTTCAAAAAGTACTGATAGAGTCAAACTGATCTACACCAAGCAAGAGAGGAGATACCTTACAATATGATGAGTAAGAATGAAACATACATTAACTTGGATGTTTAAATATGATTTCTGACAAGTAAAACATTGGTGGGCCATGAACAGTGAAGTGTTAGCTTCTGGTCAGGATAAAGTGAGTTATGTTAAGCAAGTGTTAAAGATAAATGTGACCAATAAGCATTAAGGTGACTTATGACTATTGGACCAGTAATACCAGGGTTAATTCCTGACTGTAAAGAAATCCTGACTACAATTAGGTGACGTGAGCTACAAAAACTAAGGCCAATAGTGAGCTTCGACCATCAATAACCAACAGATAAAGTGAGCTACAAGCATCAAGAGACTGCTCCCATCATTACCCACCTTTCTGACTGGAGAACTTGGCGTGGAAGTCCTCTGCGCTGATGTTGCCTGGTTGGCAGGTGAGGAGTTTGGACACCTGTGCTGCCACGGTCATCCCCTTGTCACTGCTGGTCATCAACACCTCTGTCGTGTCCAGTTTAAACAGCACTATCGATATCTGTTTGTAAAATTAAACAGAAATTTAGAAATATAACTTAAAGTAAGAATTGAACAAAGTTCCAAGTAATTAAACTGATGGTTGGAAAGATTCAAAATTTTGAGTATGCAGATTCAAATACCAAAGAAGATCTCAAGATCCTAAGAAAAACTCCAGGATTATATGCTGCAAATAAAATACTGATCCTGCACATAGCTTTTAATGACACTTAAATCGAGCTCCTTGTTGCTACAACCGTATCCAGAAGATGTACTCACAATCTCCTTTCCCCGCGTTGATGAGCTTTCTGCGTAGACACTGGAGGTGTCATCAGCCATGTCGCTGTAGGTGTCAGTAGTGGACGCCGTATCTGAAGGCGGATCGTGACAAAATGCCGGCACCTCTGAATCCTCAAATGTCAGATGCTCAAACTCGTCATCAGACGACATGTCCGTTTTTATTGACATTGTTTCAAGGTCATCTGACACTGACAACATGTCGTCATCCGTCTTCAGCTTCAGTTTGTCCGTGAAACTCGAAAAAGCAGATGAAACTGAAGAAAGTGCCTTCTTCATCTGTGGCTGTGCCTTCGTGTACCGCACTCCAGTGCTGCGGCGGCTGTCCATGCTGATGCCAGAATCCATGCCGTAGGAGCGAGAGGAGACAGTGGAGTCCTCGTCGTCGTTGGTGGTGCCGGAGATAGTGAGGGCGGAGATGGCTGTCCGCTGCAGAGGTGGGGGTTGGGGTTGCCGGAGGAAGACTTCCTCTCGAAGTCAGAGGTACTTTCAGAGTGGCTGAGCATCCCGTTGGAGTGGGACTGGATGGTGGAGTCACTCATGGACTTGGTGATCATCATGTTGGGACTGCTCGGGACGTCACTCGGCAGGTTCATGTCAGACTCTGGAATGTCAAACACATATAGACAGGATGAACACTCAACTTCAGCTTGATTAACCCTTTCAACACCGCAGGCCGCTTAAGAGGCCACAATGTTATGAGTCCCCAGACACCGGAGGCCGCTTAAGCGGCCAGGCAGTAGTCACGTCAAAATGAGACATAATTTCAGGAACCTACCTGACTTATGATTCATATATTATATCTATGACATTTCACAATGTCTGAAAACACTTATTAAATTTCAATTTATCATATATTATCAGCAGAATTAAAATTATAAACTATTTTTCGCAATGTTATTGAAAACAACGATTCTCGGACACATGCTTTGACAGCGGGTCCACAATAAAGTTGTCAAAGAGCAAAGTAACGATGTTTCGAGGAATTCAGTAAATAAATTGAATAAACTAATGAATAAAATCAACAATAGCATTCATAAAAATTGTCAAAAGTACATATAAAATTACTATTTCCATCTTTTTGTGCGATCATGTAATGTAAGTCAAGTCACTGACAACTGACATCTCGGCTCTCGCCGCCTCAATCTTCCGCATTTCGGACCACGATGTTTAATGCGAAAATATATACATGAAGCATTTTTGTCACAGGTCATAACCTAGCACGATACGTCCAATAAGTTCCATAATTTACGTATATGCAGCGATTTCTTGCTTAATATGTTCAAAATAGCGTTATTTTACCTAAAACTTTCGTCTAAATCTGGAGGTTTTTAAGTTTCACGAGGGCGGTATCCATTGCTGTAATATGATTGGCTGCCTCATGTCACGTGTCTGATTTTGACCAATCACGACCCTTAAAGCAGACTGGAGCGAAAAAGCGTCATTAGAAACCAATTTTTATCCAATAAAATCGCTTCTTACAACTGTGAAAATACTCCCGGCAAGGGTTCAGTGATGTTGTTGAGGTTCAGAGCTTTCGAACGATACCCGACATCAAACGATTCGCCTCCCATGTTTTTCATCTGAAGCTTCGAAAACGGAGGTATTTTCCGTTGTTATGTCAGGTTACCGAGCGGAAAGCCACAGATATCGGGAAATAGGCGACCATACATATTATTTAAGAAATCTTTTTATAATAGTTTTCTGATTACGTAAAAATGAAAATATAAAAGAAAAAGGCACGGACATGTTATGACATGTCACAAATTGAAAATAATCGCCATAGTTTTTGCTTCCTTCGTGGTTTATCTGGAGGTTATAAATGTAAGCTGGCATTTTCATTCAAAAATAATTTTATTTAAGTTGTAGTTGTATTATTTGAATAATATTATAAAAATAAACGTCATATTAATCAACAGTAGGATTAGATCTTTTAAATGGTGTATGGGATGTAGTAGCAATAACGTTTTACAAGCTTATAATTTCCTTCATAAACATAGGCTTCATCTGTGACCTCAGAGTCTCTGGGAACTCGGTGTCATGGCACTAAATGCCTCTGGTTGACTGGTGTTGAAAGAGTTAATAACTACAGGTGAGAAACTCAGCAAAAGTGTGTTCAAGCACAGACTGTTGATTTCTTTCATGCTCTTCAGGAACTATATACTAATCAAGCATCATTCCCAATTCACATTTCAGAAGAAAACATTACAATTCTTTTTTAAATATTGAAACCTAAAGTGGACAGTCCATCTGAAAGTCAAAGGTCCAATGAAATTATCTTCAGGCCTGAAGCATATCCATAGAATCCCCTGGTTACACATTTCTGACATCAAGATTATCATTTAACGATTTTGACTTCTTATCATGTTAAACAATTAGAATAATAGTTTCTGAAAACCCTAATTTCAGGCCTTTTCATTCAGTGCTGTTGCAAGTGAAAAACATACAAAAGTTGAAATTAATCAAATCATTCGATTGAATATGTCTGACAATTCTCAGAACGATTTCTCAAAGTTATGCTAAGTTATTAAATAATGCATATGCTGGAGACCAAAGAGGGCCACCACCCTAACCTCATCATACAGAAATACAAAACTACCTGTAAATTCAATGCGAGGGTAGTCTGCATTAGCAAACTCTTTACTGGCCGGCATGGTGAGATGAGACAGCTTGTCCAAGGGGGAGACGGGGCTGGAGAAGTCGTCCGGGAAACACCGCTGGTTGATCAGACAAGGACATACTGCAGCAAACTCAATCTGGGGCAACACAAGGGGGACACACATGCTCATAGAGTCCTTGGATCCCAGGCTCGACAGGTCAGAATTTATCTGGGTTTGGAATTTGGAAAAAGACTCATTGAGTCGCATCAGGAGAACATACTGAAGGTGATTCAGCTGAATTCGTAGCTTGCCTCCGACAGATGCCACAACATGGCAGTCCGAATATTGCACATCTTCTTTTAAGTTATTGGCATTCACTGCTGGTTTCTCTTTGTCATTATCACAGATAGATCCATCCTTGGCTGTCTCCCCTTCATCACCTTTAGCATGACCTTCATCATCAGAATCACAGCTGTAGTATTGTTTCAGAAGAAGCCTCTGAGGACGTTTATCTCGATCTCCTTCATCAGACTTTACCTCATTCACACCTTTGTGACCAGGATTGCTGGATTTGAAATCTTTAAAGGAGTCTTTGGCACAGTTGGATTTCTCAAGACTGTGTGGTTGACATATCCACAGAGCCAGAGGGAATGCTTCAACAAAAGGTTGTGGCCGACTTTTGGAACTGAGGGACAAGAGGAACTCCAGCCACACCTGATCAATGAGGACACACCACATATCACATCCTGCGTCCCGTTTCAGAGTGTTGGTAGACAACTCATGGCCTGGAACAGATCCAGCGAGGAACTCGTGGCTTGTGAATTCCGACAGCTTCTGTTTCACACCCTTATCAAAGTATTGATTGTCTCTGCTATCAGCGTGGGCACGGAAATGAGGTGGGATGGCAGTTGTGGAATCGTCCCGAGGGAACCCTTCAGACCGAAGGAGCTGCTCCTTCTCATATACGTCCAGAATCTTAGCCAGGTCAGATCTCTCTGCCTTCAACTCAACACGGGTATTAGTGGCACATATCTTTGACATCTGGAGTTGGAGGTACTCGGGGCGCTCTGACTGACCTTCACCTCGGAACTCATTCGGGATGATGACCTGCAAAAGAAGGTGATGCATTGATGGAGTCAGTCTTGGTTGGAACTGGGTGGACTTTCAGCAGATTTCTCATACTCTGTATTACTCTCGGGAACTAAGCTTCCGCCTGGACAATTGGCTAGACATCTGTGGGTGTGTAGTGTTTCAGAATGAGATACTAAAACTATGTTGGCAATTATATATTGACATTAATGTCTTTGATGGTTATGAATATTAACAAGACAGAGATGCATACAGGAGAGTATCTTTAGATAAACTGACTTCAGTAAAATCACTGTCAAGTCAGTCACATTTATACTGTATAGACTGTCTGAGTTCCATCTAGATACTTTGAGAACTACAGTAAGGATTTACCCACAGAACAACAAGGATTTGCTTCATGTCAGCAGTTGGATTGATGGCTACACAACAGAACCATGACACTTGATGACATCATTATTTCAGCCTTGTTTGTTCTATGCTTCTTTTCTTTCGCTGACCAATATGTTACAAATTACAACCCTTTGACAGAGTGAGTATGGTTTTTCACCGCTTTCAGCAATATTCCAGCAATATCACGACGGGTGATATCAGAAATGGTCTTCACACATTGTACCCATGCGGGGAATCTAACATGGGTCTTCGGGGTGACGAGATAATGATGTAACCATTAGGCTACCCTACCGCCCCCTTTGACAGAGTGCAATTATAACTGCAAGGCTGAAACAAATCCATTACTTACCCTGGGCATGACAGCCTCCACCTTGATATCTACATGTTCTTTTCGGGCAGACGTCTTATTGTCCAGTTCCTGTAAGGAGCAATACACTTGACAAGAGAAAGAGTGCATGATTCTGCCATGTTTTGCAACACTGCAGTTATACCACTGACTGACTGAGTTTGGTTTTACGCCGCTTTTAGCAATATTCCAGCAACATCACGGCGGGGGACACCAGAGATGGGCTTCACACATTGTACCTATGTGGGGATTCGAACCCGGGTCTGCGGCGTGACGAGCCAACGCTTTAACCACTAGGCTACCCCACCGCCCCTGCAGTTATACCAGCCTAAACAAAATAGACATTGTTAAAGAAGAGCTAGCACATCAAATGCTATGTAAAACCTACTGTAAGTGAAAGCAAAAAAATTTGTAAATACAAAACGTATCTAATTCATTCATTATACCCTGACTGGTTTAACACAACTAAAAAACCCAGGTTTTTGAATGGTAGATACATAAATGTTTGTTTTTGATTTCTGTTCAGGCTCTTGTAAACTGGCATTCATTGACTCCCGTCTTTGTTCTGGAAAAAGGACAAAGATGCCCGATCCTTTACAGGAAGATGACCATGTAAAGATAGGATCAATGCATCTTCTGATGATCAATATTATTCCCTTACCAGATTCTGTGAGAGGCTGAGCATGAAGTAGTTTGTCCACAGCAGTGTTAGAAAGTCCACTGTGAGCCGCACTGGGTTCAGCAAAACATACAAGTTGGCATGTGGAACTGGAACAGAAGAAGAATACATTCACATAAACTGCCAAACATCCAACCCTGTTCCACTTCACTATTCTGGAAACATCAAATCATTACCCTTTGCCCCTTAAATAATATAGGTTGAGTGAGTGAGTGAGTGAGTGAGTGAGTGAGTGAGTGAGTGAGTGAGTGAGTCAGCGCGCGTGAGTGAGTGAGTGAGGAGTGAGTCCAAGTGAGTGAGTGAGTGAGCGAAATCGCAAGTGAGTGAGTGAGTGAGTGCGTGCGTGCGCGCGAAATCCAAGTGAGTGAGTGAGTGAGTGAGTGAGTGCTGCTTAAGGTTTCATCAGCAATTTCTCAGCCATCTGTGTAGAAATCAGAATGATACTGCTCCCAGTGCAATCTGGACAAACACATCCCGACATTGCTGAATCAATGTTACATTGTAATGCCCCCTAAGCACATACAGATCATTGGGTTGAAAATTCTTTCGAAATACTTCTGGTTCTGCACTTCTCACGAATAATAGAAACCAGCCGGTCAGAAATGGAATTTGTCTGGTTTTACTCATTTCATTTCAGAAATTCGAATTTTGTCAAAATCAAGAAAAATAAAAGAATCATTGTTCAACGAATGTTTCAATCCGGAGAACTGTTTCTGTATAACGCATCCATCCAAAGCTATGCGTGGCTGAGGGAGGTGTGCAATATACATATTTATTTATTTTTTTCCTCAGTAAAGACAGCACTATAAATGCCACAAATACCGTTCTACAGTCCGTTTGATTTCATTTTGAGACCGATGAATTGCTCACTAACACAAAATCTAATAATTACAACAAAACCAAATTTTGCACGGTCACATGAAATCGACAGACCAACTCTGATGATTTGTCTCATAATTTAATACCCGAATAAAAAACTTATTTTACAAAAGATCATTATTTTGTTGTCAGTTTTTGCAATTTTTTATGAGGGGGAACTTGCTGGTAGAACAGCCAGGTGTTCGAGTTGCACGTGTGAAATTGAAATTTCACTATAAACGCTTGTTGATTATCTGACTGTTCCACCAGCAAGTGGTCCCCCTGCATAAAGAAATAGTGCAATGTAAGGCGTAGTTTTCTGTGGATTTGTTTGTTTGTTAAATTCTTGTGATTTGCTTCCCATAATAAAACTATTGCCAGCCAATTTCTGGCACCACTTTTGTCCAGGTTCATACAGTCCCTTAATTATGACAAGTTGATGTATTGATAGCCAAATCCAGATGTTTAAACATGGCTGATGGTGTTCCTGGCCGATAAGCAGCAGGTCAATACTTCAGCCAGGTCAATACCTAATTAATGGACACAACAACAGCAGCAGCCTTGTTTGCTTGTAACTCCCAGTTCCCAATACATAAATCAAAATAGCAGTTGTGAAGAAACAGAATACAAGTGTAATTCTTTCAGAAAGTTGTCCTGAATCAGGTCCTTACACCACTGAAATGAACCAATTGGCAACCGGACAGTAACACTGGTGTCAACATTGACTCAAGTCTTGGATTTAACCCTCACACATCATGACCAAGTTTGACATAACATTTGAAAACCAACTTCCCGGAATTAAGTGTTATTTTAGTTGTCATTTGTGACAAGAAGTGGAAAACACATTGACATTCCTCACACGGCAATGTCTGAGATAGATATTCAAGCCTCCATCAAACCCTGAATACCCTGGATACTGAGATTCTTGTTCAATATTAGTCTTCTGAAGAATACGGTCACATCAAAGAAATTCTACCGCACAGTTTGTATTTCTAGGTCAAGCAGATCCAGATAAAACAACATAAAAGAATTGTGAACCATCAATAAATCTGATTCATCTTCATCATGATAATGGTTCTCAACAAGTCTTCAATGAAAAAGTTTCTTTCTGGTTAAGGTGTGTACATAAAGGAAAGATTCATCAGAGACTCCGTGGAGCAGAAATACATTCCTGGGGCAATTAAAACAAAGGACGAGTAAAACCAGGAGAAAGAGTTTCGTTGACGTCAGTGAAAGCACTCTTGATGGTACTTAATCACCGCCAGGCAAGACTTTCAGTTCAAGAAACATCTACTGACAGGACCACAGGTGAGATTATTTGTTTAATGTGGACATTGAAACCAAAATGTATTTTTATCATTATTACACTGTTTTGGTGTTATTGTTTGTATTTGTGCAAAAATGTGTCTGAAAATTTTGACATTTAAATCTTGTATTTTTATCTTTACAAGATTGAGTGGGTGAGTGAATATCATCAGTTTTATTCCACTTTTAGCAATATTCCAGCAATATCATTGTGGGGAACACCAGAAATGGGCTTCACACATTGTACCCCTGCGGGGAATCTAACAGCATGACGAGCAGACGTTTTAACAACTAGACAATTTATTTTCCTGAAGGCAACGTATGATGTTATAACAGGTTGGTGCAGTCATTCTATGACTGTTTGTTGCACAGGTACTAAAAAATCCTTGAAGTTTTTGTAATTAAAATCTTCATCGCATTTCATCTCAAATGAAGATGTTACCTGGGTCAACTCTAGCCTGGCCATGAAATCATCTAAACATTTCAAACCCTTCCACACATTTCATTCCAGAAACAAGATGGCCTCCACCATGAACTCAAACCCAACAAATTGTAATATATATATAAATCATTTAAACATTTCAATTAAACCCTTACTTCAATTCCCTTCCAGAAACAAGATGGCCACCACGGTGAACTCAACCCTGACACAAGACACCCTGTCCACTGGTCTACGAGTGACACACTCTGTCTGTTCCCTCACTATTGCTGTCAGTGGGGCGATTGGAAACAGTTTCACTATCTACAAACTGACACAGAAGCAGAAGAAGCAGTTGACGTGTAACCTTTATCTTCTCAACCTCTGCATCAACAACTTCCTCAGCTCCACCATCCTGCTACCCATCCTCGCTGTCAACTCCTTTTTCAACGGATGGATATACGGGAACACATTTTGTAAGGTCTTTGCCTATCTCATGTACACCAACGTCTGTGCCGAGATTAATGCCCTGATCCTTCTGACTCTGAACCGGTACGTGAAGGTCGTGCACCCAGTGACATACATAACAATCTACGACAGCCATCTACACAATGCAGTGATCATAACTTTCAGCTGGACATTCTATTCCTTGCTTCTTATCCTCCCATTGTCTGAAATATGGGGACAGTTTGGTTATGACTTGGACAAAAAATACTGTGCCATTATCCGAAACGACAACTTCATCTTGTTCATGTGTGGAACTGTTCTGGTGACATCTGTTCCTATCTTATTCTGGAGTTACGTTTCAATATTTTACACCTACAAGAAATCCAAACAGAAGGTAGCTAACTTCAAGGAAGAGCCAGATGTCAAGTCCAAGGTGCAGACGCCAACAACTGCCACATTCTCCTCACAGGAAGTGAGGTTGTTGCGGATGATTGTGTTAATCCTTGGTTGTTTCATGCTGACCTACATGCCATATATGGTCATGACTGTTGCTGACCCTGCCATGACCGTCGCAGGGAGATGGGTCCACACAATCGTTATCTACCTGTCCTGGCTGCATGTCGCACTGAATCCTTGCATATATAATCTGAGGAACCCAAGAAGACCTAAAACGTAGCCTTCATTGTGGTTGGTGAATTTAGTTTCATGCCATTTTGTTTGTTGTCTAATGCGATTCAATATTCCAGCTATAGCACAGCAGGTGGGACATTTAGTATGTTATTTCAGCAATGTCACAGTGTGTCAGGTAAATGTGAAAGAAAACACTGAGTCCAGAAAACACCTACCATATATTACCATTACGATAAGCTGATCTCATAGATAAACCCCTAACTTGACCCTTAAAATCAGTATCAAAATGGTATGTTTCGTAGAAAAGCCGACCCCAAACCTTCGCTCACCTTTTTGTTGTGATCAGTCATCGGAAATAGTGTCAACAAATCCATATTGAATTATGCAAGTTTATACTTCGATATTTATAACTTCGGAGTCCATATAATTCACAGCAATCACTATCATATTGCATCTACTCACGCCTTGAAATGAGGTGTAGTTAACAGAAAATGGATATGTATACAGATTTTGTTTCGCTTAGGGTCATATTTCTTGTAACTGGACGATCACTTGTCAACAAAATTTCGAGGTGGAAATTGAGAGACTTCTTTGAGTGGCATTTTAGAAGTTGGGAAGTACAATATAGAACAAACTTTATGGATAACAACTTCTTTTTATTCGTGAGTGCGACGTTTCGATACAGATTCTTGTACCGTTGTCAAGCATAATGCAATAGCATTTATTCGTGAGTGCGACGTTTACAGATACAGATTCTTGTACCGCTTATAAGAATCTGTATCAAACGTCACTCACGAATAAAAAGAAGTTGTTATCCATAAAGTTTGTTCTATATTGGAAATTGAGAGATTGCGCGAAACGTCATCGTGACAGGTCAAAGTGTTCCATGCATAAAAATTATCCGGCAATACACCAAAGTGCTGTTGCATGATTTATGATTATAAATATTTTACATTTATAGAGCATGCCTCCATTCCAAGCTCCCAGGAGCAGTAGCATTGTCCTGACGGACTTGTAATAAGAGCAAATACAGATCTTGGTAACCCTGATACAACTGTGGAATTTGTTTAGTCAACGGTGGTCAACGGTGACATCAGGAAACATCTGCATTGTTTCGGCAATTTACATTTATGAGTGCTGCCATTATGATTCACTTAAATGATTGGTGACTTGAACCATATACCTTCCTGGATTTAATTTGTTATTCATGATCACTAGAATCGAATATTTATTGATTTTTTTTTTTATAAAGGAGTTTTTTACTTGAAGTTGGGTGTAGATATCAAAATGAAATGTGCAAACTTGTATTGATCCAAGCCATGGGGGATAGTAGTCAACAGTTTCATGTATCTAATTTGACAGTAATGTGGTCACTGGCCATTGTCATGATACATTAGCACTGTCAACATGGCCAAAACATTGTTTCACTGA